GTCGAAGGAGCGTCCCAGAAGCCAGTACCTCGCCCATCGCTTCAGGAAGGATCGTTCTCAGGTGCGGCTGGATCATGTGAGCGCTTCGGAGGACATAGATTCTCTATGGAGTGCGGGGGTGACCTTAGAGAAGTTCTTCTCCAAGGAGTCGCTGAGTTCGGCTGATCAAGCCATGATCGAGACGGTCGGGCCAGTAGAAGGCCTTGATTCTGCTAAGGTCTTTCTGCAGAGGGCAAGGGCCATTGTGGACCATTGGAAGCACAAGTGGGCTAAGCAGCAGAAGGACCTTGAGATGATGAGGGGCCTAGTCCAGCCATTGGAGGAGGAGAACAGGGCTTTGGGGGCCGCCCTTAGCGAGGCCAAAAGGTAGAATGAGGCTGAGCTTCGAGCTTCAAGGGGAGATCTCGCAAGGGTTCAAAAGTCTTTGGAGATCGCTTTGCGGTCTAATGAGACTTATGCTTCCCAAGTGTGTGAGATGCAGGAGCTCGCCACCTCTTCCCAGAGTCGGGTGCGTTCCTTGGAAGATGAGGTGACGTCTCTAAAGGCTGATTTGGTGGCGGCGGCCGAGAAGCGTCTTCTTGATGAGGTACTTCTTGGGGGAAGGAAGAGGAGGTTGCCGCCCTGAGGGTGGACCTTGCAAAGATGGCGGAGGAGAGGGCCGAGCTGGAGAAGAAGCTCGTTGACACTGAGCGAGCTGTCCTGTTTGAGCATAAGAGGGGATTCCTGAAGGCAGCTCGCCAGGCAAGGTTGCTTGCGCCCGGGGTCGACCTCTCGGCAATGCATGTAGAGAAAGAGGTGTGTTTTGGAAAACTGGTAAAGGAGGACGACCTTCAGGACAGCTCGAGCGACAATGCCTCCGCCTAGGCCACCTTTGTAATAGTTTAGTTCATTTTGCTTTGTTTATTGTTGTTTGGATTCAAGTTTTGAACCTACAAACTTGCTCTGTATATATTCTTTTCTTTGAGCTTTTTGACTTGTGCTTTTGGTGAGTTTATGTGGACGTTTGATTTTGCGTTCGCGCTGTAGGCTTAGTTTTTGCCTGTTTGTGTTGTTCTAAAACACGTTCGTAATTTTGCTTTGTATTTTGCGCTTTAGAGCTCGGATTCGACGTAGGGCAAGGTGATTTGTACCAAGGTTCGAATTCGACCTTGGGTGAGAGCAAGATATTTTGCGGTGAGGTTCGAACTCGACCTCAGATTAGAGTAATCCTGCCGAGGTTCGAATTCGACCTCAACTTGAAGTAAAATGAATCGTGTGGAGGTTCGAACTCGACCTTGAATATATCATACCGAGGTTCGAACTCGACCTTTGAATGGATCATACCAAGGTTCGAACTTGACCTCGAACTAGAGTAGAATGAGTCATACGAAGGTTCGAACTCGACCTTGAATTTAAGCAGAGCGTATTAAGGTTCGAACTCGACCTTGTATTTAAAGTAATATGAATTATATTAAGGTTTGGACTCGACCTCGGGTTTAAGCAAAACGTATTAAGGTTCGAACTCGACCTTGTATTTAAGTAAAGCAAAGCGTATCAATGTTCGTACTCGACCTTGACTAAGAGCGAGATAAGTCGGACCAAGGTTCGAACTCGACCTCAGCGTAAAGTAAAATAAATCGTGCTAAGGTTCGAACTTGACCTTGGTTTAACGTAAAGCATCTCATGGTAAAATGGTGCAAAATCAAGAGAATATGAATGGAAAAGAATGAGTTATTTTATTGATTGTATATATGTGCCTCGTTAAAAACCTTTTCAGCCAAAACCCATTTTTCTGTTTTTTGGGACAAAAAATTGAGGCGGGAAAAGAGTGCACAGCTCATTCTTACAGGTTTAGCTGAAATAGAATTTAAGGTGTGTGGTGTTCCACGTCCGCGGGATGACTTTGCCGCTGAGTTCTTCTAGCCTGTATGCTCCATTTTCCAAGTCTTCTACAACTCGGAATGGGCCACCCCAGTTGGGTGCAAGCTTTTCGTCCGATGCGTCTCTACGTGCTTCGCCCAACAGTCACCATACCAGGTTGCCAAATCAGAAAGAACGAGGTCGCACTCGTGTATTGTATCTTCTGGAAGCTCAGAGTTTGCAGGCTTCTTCATGAATCTGAGCTTCATCTCTGAGCTCATCAATCAAGTCGAGGTCAGCTGCTAACTCTTGAGCGTTCTGCTCGCTGTTGAAGACCTGGCATCGATGAGATGTCTCTCTGATTTCCACTGGGATCATTGCGTCAGCTTCGTAAGTCAGCCTGTAAGGCGTTTCTTGCGTTGTTGACTGGGGGTGCAATGGTATGCCCAGAGAATGCTGGGAAGTTCGTCAGCCCATTGCCCCTTGGCATTCTCGAGCCGATTTTTGAGCTCTCGGAGTATCACCTTGTTTGCAGCTTCGGAAACCTTAAGTTCAAGTTAAGGGTGATCAAACCATAACAAGTATTATGCACAAAAAAAGAACAATAAAACTGAATAACAACTTAGATTGATAGCTTAGAGTTTACACATGAGAATGAGTTTAGTTACATCAAACCCCGACAAGGGCGAGTTTAGCTACACATAGCCATGTAAAACTCTACAAATGATGAAGAAAGGAAGAAACTTGATCTTGAAGGTTCCAGAGCTCTCCAGCCGCCATACAAACTCCAAGAATGATCCTCCTTGCTTCTTTCTTTAAAAATCCCCCTTTTAGGTCATAAAAGCTTTTGTCTTATGTGAATAATGACATGTCAGCATAATCCACGCTAAGCGTGAGAAGCCACGCTAAGCTTGAGGATAGGTTTGGAGTGAAATGAGGTTCTAGGACTCCCACGCTTAGCCTCAGTTCCGCGCTCAGCGTGAGGATTGAATTTTTGTTCCAGGGACTCTCTGCCAAGCTGAGGCTAAGCCTGGATCTGGGGCTTAGCCTGGGAACTTAACCACAAATTCCTTCAACTTCAAATTCACCACTTTGTGCTTGACTTCCTTCCTTCTTTCTTAGCTTTCTCCTAAACTACAAAACAACAACCAAATACTTGTAAGTTACCTAAAAACATGATTCAAAGACAAAATGTGAACACCTAATAATTTATATATGTTTTGAGTTAAAAATAAGGTCTAAAGCAAGGAAAATTGATATAAGTGCTTCAAACTAGGCCATAAACTTAATGAAATCATAGCACTTATCATGTACTCGATGGATATATGTGAAGATAATGGCCAAACATCGTGATCAGGTTGATTCAATAGTACGAATATCAAGAGGATTGTAAAGACTATTAGAAAGATACAACATATAAGAATATTACACTTGTGGGATAAGATAGATTTTTGTAATGCTCTAGTTAAGTTTTATGATGTATGAATGGAAATAGTTTATACATATTTTTATTGTATTTATCTATAATAAGAAACTCTTATTTATATTTAATAAGATCATGATTCTTTATATTTTGTGGTAATAATATATTATAATAAATACAATAAAATTTACCCTCATTTTTATAGTAACAAATAAGTGAATAGTTAATAAGAGATTATATACGATATAATAGGAATTATAAGAGAAAAAAGTAATATAATATTTGTATCTTTTAAAAAAGAAATGTAATTTACTTTATATAAAATGTAAATTTTACCGATCAAAATTTTGAATTATAACTATATATATCACCTTAATTTTTTGTGCCAAAATTTATCAGAATTGAAAAATAATTAGAATGTAGCTAAATTGTTGTATATTTGAAAAAGTATATTACATTAATTTTAGTGTAGATTACTTAATGATGTATTAAATTATTTTATATTAATCTAAATTTTAAATATATATTATGTGAAAGAAACATTCAATTTAACATAACTTTTAAATATAACGTTATATAATTAAAAATTATTGATTTAATATAGTTAAATCTAATTTACTTAGTTGTCATTACAATATTTTTTAACGTCGAAAAACACTATTATTAACAACAATGGAAAAAACCGTTCTTTAAATATTGGATGGACAAAGATTTTAACTATATATATAATAATAATAATAATTATTATTATTATTATTGAAAATTTTATATTACTATTTTCTTTATCATACTTATTACCACACCATTATTATTATTGTTATAAATGATGACATACATAAATATAATTGATTCTAAGGAATTTTTTAACTTCATAATTTTTTTAATTAATTGTAATATTTTAGTTCTCCTTATCTTATTATAGGAAGTTTCTCATTTGAAATCTCTTTATATAATGTGACTTATACTTACTATTAGATATATTATCTATTACATCATCAAAAATACATTTTTATGCATTTAATATAAATAATTATTTTTTATAAGAATATTTTTAATGACTTTTTTTAATAAGAGTATTACTAAAGATTTCTTTAGTTACTTATATAATTTAATTTTTTTATTTATTATATTTATTTATAAATTAAATTTTAATATTTTTAAAATAAACTATCAATAAAAATTATTTCATATCACAATCTAAATTATTTATCATATTATTGACCTAATATTTAAAATTTATAACTATCTATTAAGTTAAATTTTATTAAAATTAAACCGTAATTCACATTAGCACGTGCTCATCATATTCTTTTGTATTTTAAAATATATAATACATGTATTTTAACATAGATTAAAATTGATGTAATATATATTTTAAAATATATTAAAATATAAATAATTTAATTATTTTTAAATCATTTAATTTTAATAAATTTAACATAAATATAAACATAATATAAAATTATAATTTAACAATTAAATTAACAAAATTTCTGTTTAATATAAAATTATTAAATAATACAATACTTCGTAAAAGCCGCTCATTTGATCCTTCTCTTCTCTTTATATATAATATTATCAATTAAAGAACATTCTTTGAGAAGATGCTCCTATAAGATATAAAAATATATTTTGTTTGCAATTTTGTGCTATATGTATCAAAGTGAAAATTACATCTTAAAACATTGGCAGTGGCTGACACCAAAGGGGTGCCTTTGTTGGCTTTATTAGCAAACTGTGTTGGTTTTGAAACAAGTTTCTGAAAGTTAACATTATCTTGTGCTTGGTGGATTAAACATGCCCCTCACATCACAGTCATATATAGAGCCTCCTCAAACCCAGTGGCAGAAGCAGAAGGCACAGTACTATACTATCATATCATGGAAAAGAGAGAAGATGCTCGATACATATATGATGATCAGCATGCACCTTCTTCCAAGTAATCAGAAACCATTGCAGCTTTATTCCCTCAAGATGCCATGCCACGAGCAAACCCCCCAGTGCCTATTTCTTCACGTGAAGGCATAACTATTCCAGAAACGGCTGAAGATGAAGCCATGTAATACCCTGTCGTTGTACACTCATCATGAGGCACGTGAACCTGTTGCAGCAACAAGTGGGGTCTAACTTGTGAAGGTGCTGCACTCCCTATTTGTGAGGCTTTTTGCAACAAAGCAGTGGCTGACACGTGAGGAGGATTAGTGAAATAGTGGAAGCAACTCAGGGAGTTAGGAAGCAAAGTGGTAGCTGTTGGTGAAGTTGTAGGGTTAGGGTTAGGGTTTAAGGAGTGGTTGACATGTGTTAAGTCTAGGGTTCTTATAGTTTGATTGTGGAACATTGCTGCTGCTTCTTCTTCTGCTGTTGGAGAAGCCAGCCATGATAGAATTTCTGGACTTAGTAGGTTGAACTCTTGTTCTCTTTTGAGAAATGATGGTGGTGCTTGAAGGGCATGGCTGTGAAATTGGGTGTGAGTTGATAGGAGAGGGTGAGGGTGAAGGTTCACTGCTCTAATGCTGTCCTGTGCTAAGGCATCACAGAAGGCTCTGTGTGTGATAAAGCTGTCCCTCCTGCAACCACAAAAAAGGGAAATCAATTTTATAATTTTTTTCCTTTATAACTAAGAGTGCAAGTATCTCAAAACAAATTTAGAAGTGTTTTTCTTTTATAAATTTTTTTATTAAACATAAAGAACTTTTTAGAAATTTTCAAAAATTTTAATAAACTTGTATCCAATTATAATCTAAAAAGTGCATATAACTCATTTTTACATAGTCATAAATTTGAAAAATAAAATTGTATTTCTAATTGCAACTTTATCTTCATAGTATGAAAATCAAACTTGTCATGAAAGACATGTATGAACTTCTTATTCTAACATTTCGGTAAAATAGTTTTTGAGCTTAACATAATTGATGCTTATTAATTTAGTACTGCATTTGCATATAGTTATTTTTATTTTGCATTTTTTTTTCATGAATAACACACACATTCCTAATCCTAGCTATATATACAACTTTTTGTCGTTTGTGCTGTTCTATGCACTTTCCCTTCTCATCTTTTTGGACTTGTTACTGACCAAAACTGATAATATATAAAGTTATAAACAACTCTATATATTAAACTTAATTTATTAATATTTTTTTATTTTTTATTGCTACATATTACATATTATCCTTATATTTTTTTTCTTTCTATTTATTTTATTGGATAGAATTTGATGTCTACCAAAATTTTTCCATAAAAGGAACTGTCTCGCCACTCCCTCCCCAATTGATAGAGAAATGTCAGTTGTATAATAATCATATTTTGAGAGGAAAAAAAGATAGGTGCAGGGGCCAAGAAAATTTTAGATTTATATTTTTTTCTGAAAAAAAGTGTACATTTTATGTAAACAGGAAGAGGATAAAAAGAATATTGAAAAAATGAGTGATACAATAATTAAAAAAGAAAGTATTATAGAAAACGTCATAAAACATGTTGTCACATATTGGTACGTATTTCTTTCGATATCCTTCTTATAGGTTATTAAAATATGATATTGGTTAGAAAGGAATACTCTTTCTTCTCATTAATTAATAGTATTTTTCTTATTTACATTTTCAAGAAAGAGAAAATAAATAAAGGCGCACAGATGATTTAGTTTCGATATTTATTTACTAATTATTTATCATTCGATTAGCTCCTGTTAGAATAATGTACCAAAAAAGAGCCAACTAGAATATACTTTTTCTATCATAGTTTAAACTATTAGTAAAACTATAGTGAATTTATATTAATGATAAAATATACTAAACTAATAGTATGATATAGTGATAATATTTACCAACTTTTATACTAGCAGAATTATTTTTAGTATAAAAGTTTGATTTTATATATTGTCATGATAAATAGTTTTAAAATAATAATCTGCTAGAAATTATTATAACTATAATTTTTAAAATAGTTATATAATACAAATTTAACAATCTTATTGCGATAATATGTAATTGGGATGACAGAAAATAATCTACACCGCTAGTATATTTTAATTAAATTATTAATATAAACTCACAATAATTATATTAATAATTTAATGTCTGTTAGTAAAATAAAAAAATAAAAAAAACAAGGGCATGCCTAATGACAACTTTTTTTTTTGGGTATAGCAAGCAGAAAATTAGTTCTTTTAAGCACTTCAGAATGAGTTTTATTTATTTAATTTTTTTATTATCAAAGGCTATTTCAGTCAAACACAATACTAATCTTCTTTCAAAGTATGAGAGACATTGAATAGATAAAGCTCTCTTTCATAGCTTTAGTTTTCTCCATTCTTAATAAAAATGTATTTTGATTCTTTGAAAATAAGCTGATTTGGTTTATGGGGTTATTTAAAATGAATCAAAATTTGAGTATATAACATGGGGTTGTTAAATTGAATTACCTAGAGAAAATGGTACCACAGTCGCATTTATAGTCTCTGGTGCCACAAATTTTGGAGTGTGCCTTCCAATCCGATTGAACTGCGTAGCGTTTGGAGCACTTCTCACACTTCCATTTCTTCTCACCGTGCTTCCTGAAAAAGTGCTTTTTGATTCCAGTGAGGTCGCCAAGGGCCCTTGAAGGGTCATGGTGAACGCACGTTGCCTCTGGGCACACATACACTTTCTTTCTTCCCTCTTTGCTGCTCTTCTTCTTTAGCTTCCATGGCAAATTGTGCCCTCTTCTGTGAAGCTGCAGATTCTGATCTCTCTGAAACCCTTTCTGACAAATCTCACAAACGAACCTGTTCGTTGCCAAAAGGGTTTGAGGAGTCAAAGCTATCACTTCTGCCCCAGGGTCTGAACCAAACCAAGTGAACAAAATATTTAAACCAACACAATTCATTTGTAAAACAACATGTACAACGTTAATAAGCTAAAGGAGTGTTTGGTTTTACTTTTACATCTTACTAGATGTAATTTTTCTTGTGATTTCTTTCTTTTCTATAAGTTTCATAACACACATTAATAGAATCTCTATAAATAAAATTTAGAAAATTTTTTGAGAATAACTTGATCTACCGAAAATAAAAAAACTTTTTTTAATAAAAAAATTCTTAAAAATGCTTATAATTTATATCTAAACAAATTTTAAATAAATTTTTTATTTATGAACATAATTTACCAGCGTGTCAAAGTTAAGAAATAAGATAATCTATGCAAATGAAACGCATCTTTCGCTAATTAAACATTACTTAATTTGTTCACAAACATAATGTAGGATGAAATATAGATCCAACTACGTGTAATTTTGGTATTATTTTAGGATTAGAATTGAAGTTTCCCTTTTGATAACTTATACCGTCCTCTTTAGTACAAACTTTTATTTCATTCATTCAAACTTTGTCCAAGAACAACAAACACTAACATCACTTATAAAGATCTCTTGTAAAATTGATGATTTTTTTTTTTCAAATTGAGGTGAAAATTAAATGTACTACACCAATTATAGGAAAAAAAAAATTAAATGTTGATTTTTGCACCAAATCCACCATCAGTTATAAGAAGAAAAATAGAAGTATTAATTGGTTGAAGATTTATATATGACCTGGGTGGCCCGGAAGACTTCTTTTCTTTTTAGGCTGTGGTTCTTGATTTATTGAAGTAGAGGAGTATTGAGCATAGAGAGAACCATTGTCATTCCTGATTCCAGAAGAAGCACTTATTTCACTCGATGCAGACGTCAAATTCGACATGTTTTATTCCACCACCAAACCTTTACATAAGTAAAATTAGTTAAGAATAACTGTCGAAAAAAAAAAAGAAGTAAAATTAGGTAAGAAAGCAAACCACTCTACATAATATAGGTGATGTATACACACACAATATATAGCACACGTTCATGAGAAATAACCTTTATTTAATTTGCACCAAAAGAATATCTGAGATCTTACACTGAAAAATAGAGGATATATAATATATGTGGTAGGGAATTAATGGATCTGATTTCTTGAGCTAGCTCATGGATCCTGCTTACTTTTATATATATAGCTTTCTCTATTCTTCAAACTTTTCAGATACACTTGAGAACACCAGTGTGAGAGAAAAGAAAGAGGAAAAAGCTGAGAAAAATGGATCCCGAGATGGATTGACTTCAAAAATATAGCTACCAACTTTAATTAACACTTAAACAGCCACACCAAAGAATGCTTCAAGAGCAGTTAATTAGTAGCTACATGAAGAAGTTTCAGTAGTGTGTGTGTGAGAGAGAGAGGAGAGGTTGGAAGAATGTGGATGAGGAAATTAAAGGATGTGTTTGAAGATGGCACGTACAAGAGACCAAAACACAAGCCAAACTGGCTTGCTCTGAAGTGCACTTTCTGTCTTTTTCCCTTTTTTTCTCTTCCTTCGCTTTTAAATTATTTTTCTTCCTCAATAATGCATAAAAACATTATGATTTTCTTCCATTCATAAGATTTTTTTCTTCCTCAATAATTGCATGGCATAATAATAACATTATGATTTTCTTCCCGTCTCAACTTTTAACATCATATCTTTTATCCTTTTTTTTATAAATGTTATTGATATAAAAATTATTTATCAATTTTTTTAATAATCATGTTATTCATATAAAGTATATTTATTAATTTTGTTAAAAATTAATTTTTTAAATAAATTTAATTTATTAATTTTATCAGAATCTCTTTTTTGAAACACATTTTTTATCTACAAGAATATAAGATTCAAGTATAAAATCTTTTTTGTTGAATTTAGTATTGTTCAAACTAACAACTTATTAATTTTTTTTATCAATTTTATTATTCAGAAACTTCAAAAAAGTAATACCTTATATGTAAGAGTTCGAACACGCTAAAATGAGATAGGTATAAAGATTTGCATATATATAAAACTATACAATTGAAGATAACTTAAATGAATTAATTATTACTATCTATACAAAAAAAATATCATTTTTTTGATAGGCCATCGTTTAAAAATTTCACAAATACTCGACTTGCAACGATTTAGGGATATGTGATTTTCTAGAATTTTTGTAAAAAAACATACAAGTGAGAACAAAATACGTTGAAAAGTCTTGTATTAGTTTATGAAATAATTAATAATTCTCAAGGTCAATCCAAACATAAGGTTGATAAGACCCTTGCTTTAATTAGGCCCCTTCAAAATAAATTATTTTGCATTAATATTTATATAATTTTTCAAGGTCTATAATTCAAAAATCACTTATTGTATTTTTAAAGGTTCACTTTAAAGGTCCATCTCTAAAATAAATATAAACATAATTAGCTTTTTCAAGGATCATATCTAAAAGATTTTTATTTTTTTATTAAAAAACATTATTATTAATTTTTAAAAAGTTCACTTTAAGATTTGCATTAGGTCTGATGTGTTGGATCAACCTCTCGAAGATTCTAAAAGGTGATCAAACATCTCAAAAGACTATCCACAAAGGAGTTTGACCGATGAAGAGTTATGACTAACAAAGGTGTGTAACCTATGTAAAATGATAAAATAAGATCGTTGAAATGTCAAATCTAAAAGGTATTACTTTAATTATAAGGTAATTACATAATTATTTATTTTAAATTTATTTATTTCGATAAATACATCTTAATTAAAGTACATTTTGATTGAATTGAGAGATTAAATTTATGAAATTTCATACACATCAAATTAATTAATATCTCATTGCATTGTTTCATTTTAACACATAATATATTATTTAAATATAAATAAATGTTCTTTATCATATAATATATCAGTTGTAACATATTTTTTAATAAATAAATAAATAGAATAGAATAATTAAAAATAATAATAAATATTTTATTAATAAAATAATACGAGGAGAGCTCATTAGAAGTCTTTAGACTAGACTTTGGGCCCAACCTGAAGGTTAATTCAAATAGGAGAGATCAGTGAAGGTTAGGTTACAGGAGGAGAATCAAAAGAGGTTGTGGGAGAAAGCACAAATTGACAATAAGAACTACCAAAGGGACATCACTTCTTGAGACTCGTCACTTCAGGTAGGGGGAGTGGAATTATGGATTCCTTAAGCATATAGGAGTGTAAGGATACAGAGACGATCCCTAAGCCTCTTAGGTTATTTGTTTGAAGAGAATTTCTTCAGTATAAATTTGATTGAAATTACATTGCTATTGTGTATTCTTATTTGTTGAACATATTAAATTGATATTGAGATCATGCATTATGAGGGTTAGGATTTTTATGTATAAATTTTGAGGTTTGGGGTTGTATGCATAATTTAGAGGTTTAGTGTGATTTATTCAATTCAGGAAAAAAAAATAATTGAAGCGTGATGTTTAATTTTGATGAAGATACAAGTATCAAATAATTTTATGATTTAAAGTAAAATGGAGAATTGTGTGTGAAGCAATAAAGATGAAATTTCTTGGCTCTAGACAGACAAGCACAGTTGTGCTTGAAGGAAACATGTCCATGTAAGAGGTATAGCACGACGTGTAGGAGGTAACACGACCATGCTTGAAAGAAGCAAGCCCATGCAAGAGGCACCACAATCGTGCTTAAGGAAGCACACTCGTGCATGTCCGAATTTGAGGGAACAACAACCATGCTTAATTAAGTACACTCATGCATGATGGATTTTAATGAAGCATGATTGTGCTTATTTTATGCATGGTTGTGCTTAAGGAAGCACACCCGTACATGTCCAAATTTGAGGGAACCACAACCATGCTTAATTAAGTACACTCATGCATGATGGATTTTAATGAAGCATGATTGTGCTTATTTTATGCATGGTTGTGCATCCTTTTTAAAATTCAAATTATTTTTTGATGTCTTAAGAAGTGTAGCCTTAGATGTTATCTTTTCAATGACCGGAATCACTCAAAAATCAGGTTTAGAACTCAAGTTATGGTCAAATCAGTAAGTGAAGATCAAATTGTCACAATTAAACTAAAATACTATGATTTTGTAATTTTTAAAAATAGTAAGAGATAAAATCAACTATTGAGGTCAACATAAAAGTTGTAGATAATTATCTTATCTTCATAAGAAAATTAAGATCAACTCGATAGCATAGATACATCTTTAGATAGCCCATATAAACCACACAACATTGTAGAAGGTTAAGATAAAAGGAGAGGGTTTGTGAATTATTTTATTCCTTAAGTGTTTAATCTTGAGACTTTATGCCTGCATGTGATATGAAGTGTCGGTGTTGAATTGAGAATGATGTATATAATGTTATGTTGCATAATGATGCTATTATGATGCATAATGTTATATGATGCATGAAATAAATGATGTGATGTAATGTTGAGTTGTAATGAAGCATACTAGGATGAGATATGGTTGAGTTGATGTAGGAATATTTATGTTGAGATATTATGATGATGCATATTGTGAAAATATTGATGATGAGATATGATGAATAAATTCAGTGTTGTGGATTAGCACTCAAGGAGTTAAGAATGCATTTGTGTGGTTGAGTTGATTATTTGAGTTCATGCATACCATTTTTGTTTCGTGGGATAGTGTGAGTCTATGCAGGTGGAATACTATATATATAGGTCATCTACTTGTGTATCAGGAAATGTTATGGTAGGGAAACCTCTATCGATAATGGAATACTTCCATGGTCAGTTGTAACACTTCGATAGGACCTTGATAAACATCCCCCACTAAGGTGGTTCGGGGGGATCATTGTTGCAGAGTGTTACCTACACTATTCGATGGAGTGGTCCCATTTCATTACTCCTATATGTTATTTTGTGCACTTATTGGTGGGGAAGAGATTTGTACCGCATGCTTATAGAGTTAGGAGCATACATTTCAAGAGTCTTAATTGATGAATATAATGTATTGTGATTGATGGTATGATGGTGATTAATGGAATGTAATATGTTAACTTATTATTAATATTGAATGAGAGGAATTGATGAAAGTTTATACGATGTAATTGTTGTATGAATGGTGTGTGTGACTATTCTTATGCTCTGTATATGTTGTGATGGATGAATGTATCTCTCCTGGTGTTTATATGTTTGTGTTTGGGTTAAACGCCATTTGTAGAAATAAAGCAGATACAAAATGATAAGCTTGAGGAAGGGGAATAGTAAAAAGAGATATTGCTCTGATAGTATATTATCCGGATTAAATTCTTAAGACTAATATTTGTTTAAAATTTAAACTACTTTATTATTAGAACTTATTTGATTTAAGGAGATGTTTTATTCTCTTTGAAACGATGTTTTATAATTTTTTATTTTAAGTATTGATGAAAGATGTAAACCCTTTTTTTTACCAATTTATGAAAAGTATTACTATAAATGTTTTATGTACCATAAATTTTATTATATTTTATTTATTAAATCCTTTAGATAAAAGGGTTTCACATCAATTTTTTTTTTCAATTTATATAAAATGTAGTATATATGGTTAGAAAATCATAATGTCGATTAAAGATTGAAGTAAAAAGAAGTAAAAAATTAATAAAGTATTTATATTATTAGAGTGCATTTTATACACATTAAAATATAACACACAAAAAATAATTAAGTTACAAGATAAATTTTTATAATTTATATTGTTGGGTGAATAATACTATATAAACAAAACAATATAAAATTTAGTATATTAATCATCTTAATATTATTTACCTTAATACAATTCATATTAATTATTTTGCTTATAATAATATTATAATAACAGTAAGGACAACAACAATAATAATAGTAGTGATAATAATAATAATAATGATAATAATAATCATAATGGTTACAAATGATAATAATAATAAGATAATAATAGTATTGTAATGTTGTAATAATGATATGGACAATTAGTGATGATAACAATAATAATAATGGTGACATTGATTAAATTTGTGAAAAAAGATAGTAAAATAATACAAATTGACGTAATATATACATTTCAAAATATACTAAAATATGAACACTTTGATTACCTTCAAGTTGTTGTTCAATTTTAACAAAATTTGACATATATGATCTAAAAGATATGAACTTTCCATCTAACGGTTGAATTTATAAAATTCACATTTAATATAAAGTTATTCAGCGGTGTAACTTTAACTAAGTGTTACACTGCTTAATAACTTTATATTAATTGTGAATTTTGTAAATCCAACCGTTAGATTAAAAGTTTATATATCTTAGATCATGTATACAAAATTTTATATTAATCCAAGATAATTTGATACTTTATTCTTATAAAACAAAATTGACGTAATATATTTATTTCAAAATATACTAAAATATGAACAATTTGATTACCCTCAAGTTGTTGTTCAATTTTAACAAAATTTAATATACACATATAAAGTGATATGAACTTTCAATCTAACAGTTGAATTTATAAAATTCACAATTAATATAAAGTTATTGAGCGGTGTAACACTTAGTTAAAGTTACACCGATGTCGTTTGAACCCTCCTCTCTCTCTATATATATATATATATTGTGCTTGAGATAAAATTTAAATAAAAAAAAGGAGAGAGAGAAGAAGATTGTCTTATAGTTCATTGAATAATAAGAATAAATAAATTTTTGTTGTGTTAATTTTATCTTAATATATGTTATATGACAGAATTTTTAAATAGAAAAGTTTAGTTACAGTTCCTTAAATGTAAATTTAAATAATATTATCTTTTAATTAATAATTTTACTTCAATATTATATACTTATATTTAATATAAATTTCATTAATATATATTTATATATATTATAAAAATAAAATTTTAAATATAATTAG